AAGAAGTATTCTCCGAAGCTGTCGTCTATACTTTCAAAACTATTTAACAAGTGCTTATCGGAGTCTTGTTTTCCGGCATGCTGAAAAGCGGCATCTGTTATCCCTATTTTCAAAAATTCTGGAGAGCGATCTGACTTGTCTAACTACCGTCCCATTAGTCTTCTTCCTGTCATAGGCAAGGCTTTTGAGTCTTTAATTAACAAACACTTAATCTTTCATCTAGAATGTAATAACTTACTTTCTGATTATCAATATGGATTTCGATCTTTTCGTTTTACGGCTGATTTGCTAACAGTAATAACCGAGGGGTTTTATCGTGCATTAGATAGAGGTGGAGAGGTTAAGGCTATCACTCTTGAAATTTCGAAAACTTTTGACAAAACTTGATATGCTAATCTTTTCAATAAGATTTCTTATGGTGCATCAGGTAACATCTTTAAGACTATTGAATCCTTTTTTTCCAATGCTAGTATAAAAGTGTCCTCGATGGACAGCACTCTTCTTACATCCTGTAACTTCAGGGGTTTCTCAATGTTCTATCCTTGGCCCTATACTCTTTTTTATTTACATTAACGATCTTCGAGATATTCTCGCATCTAAGGTTTTATTTTCTATTGCTTGGAGGAGGAATTTGAGCTTGAAAAGGATCTCATTTCTGTTACAGCCTGGGGCTCACAGTGGCTGGTGAACTTTAATTCAGATAAAGCCCAATTTTTTTTCAGCCATTCATTACCAAAATAGTTTAGATCTTCTTATTTTTATGAACAAAAATGTACTTGATAAGTAATCTACCCTTCATCTTCTAAGATTAACTCTTATTTTCGATTTTTCTTGAAAACCATATATATTAAATCTTATCTACTAAAATTCATTCTGGTGTTACTCGTCATTCAGTTAATTAACACCCTTTTACTGTGACTGCTACTGTGAAGTGCTCTAAAAATTCTTATTCGTTTAGTTTTTTTCCTTGAACATCAGTTCTTTGAAATTCGCTTCCTTCATCTTATTTTCATAATTATTATAATTTGCAATATTTTAAGTTGTCTGTCAATCGTTATCTTGCTCGATAAACTTCATATATTCTCTTCCAGTAACTTCTAATTCTAATAGTGGTTGCTTGCAGCCTTGTTGATAGCGAAGATGTTGAAAAAAAAAAAAATTGCTAAACAATAATACTTTTATGCAAGATGTTGGTTTTGTAAAGTCGACTTGACTCGCGTTTTTCTTACTTTAAATAGATTTAATACAACAAACATAATGGTATAAAAACTGTTTTTTATTGTTTCTACAAAATTATTAATCTACAAATTTAATCTACAAAAAAAGAATCCACAAAAAAAATGAAAATAATTTTTAGATGTCTTGCTGAGGCCTAAATTGTTTACAACCGATTATAGTCTTTTTCATTTTTACCAATAAATGACGTTTTCATTCTCGATCGATTTTATTAAGAACCGATTTAATTGATTTTCATATTCAACCAATTATAGATGATTTGTTAAGATAATTTAATTCACAACCGATTATAGATGACTTTATTTTCAATCGACTAATCTATAATTTGCAGCGGAAAGTACACACATTTACTAATATATTAAAAACAGAGTGGTCATATATCAATTAAGGGTTTTTGTCTCAGGCAGGCACTTTTCTAATTAAAAGAAAATTTTTAAAAAGTTTGAATCATAAATTACCAACGAATTTACAAAATACATAACTGAATAAATATTATTAAGTATTGAAAAAATAGTAAAACAAAAAATCTTTTTATGCTATTTAAAGTAGCTGTGTTCCTGTTATTTAGTTTTTCTTTTATTTGCAACATTAAAAATACTATTATTTTTAAGTAAATGTATTAAATATATGAACAAGTTTTTTTTTTATAAAGCTCATTTTATAAATAATTTAATGTGTTAGTTTTATTGAATTAAGCCTTACTATTTTATATGCACGTTTCAGTATTTGCATGCTTTAGTATATCGCGACGTTAGAATTATCTTGTTTTATCTCCACTTTCTGAAAAAATTGAGTTAATGATAGTGTTGTGTTCCTCAAAATAATGTTTTTCTACTGAATTGAAACCTAAGTTAAAAGTAAAAAAGTTGCGGAAAAAACATGTTATAAAAGAAAGTTTATACGCCGTCTCCTAAAGTTTTTGTTTTTTAAATCGTTTTATCTCAAAACTAAAAAATGTGGAGATAGAACAAGATAATTATAACGTCGCGATATGTAAAATTCAGTTTTTAACTTCCCTCTACAGTATGCTAGAAAGTTTATAATAACCCAACTGTTGTCAACCATAAAGATATGCTATAAACATATATATATATATATATATATATATATATATATATATATATATATATATATATATATATATATATATATATATATATATATATATACATTAAAAAGTAAATGTAGAGTAAAATTAATTGAAAACAATTATATCATCTAATGATAAAGTATAAATTTTAGATGTTTATTTAACTTTATTATTTACTATTTGGCTGTATTTTGTGTTACCAATTGCACAATTTTAATGCAAATTTTTTAGACGCTTTCATAAATTTTTGCACAGATATGAACAGCACAAAATGAGCTCAAATGATTTTTTGATAAGTGATTTACCACATTAAATCTAATAATAAACAAATCTAATAAAAATCGCTGCCTTGGTCTGACAATATTGGAAGAAAGACGATTAAGAGGAGATCAAAATACAACAGTTCAAAATTAAAAATGGACTAAATATGTGTTTTTCTTGGATTAAATTAGAATATAAATAAATTTATATTCTAGTTTAGCCCAAGAAAAACACAATTATGGCACAAGACAACAAAACTTTCTAACCAGAGAACAAAACAAGTCTGATATCCGGTACAACTTCTTCACAAACAGGATCAAACAATGGAATCAACTGCCGGTATACTGTCAAAACTCAAAAACAACAAACATTTTTAAAAACAATTATGACAATTATATAAAAAATGCATATTTTCAACAACCATAAATGGTCTTTATATAGCCATTTCTCACGACGATGTCGTTGTAGTTTGATAATAATAATAATAATAATAATAATAATAATAATAATAATAATAATAATAATAATAATAATAATAGTAATAAGAAACATAGAGTTCTTGCAGCATAAGCTATCCAGTTATCCGGTTAACTATAATTAAGTTAGATCTTCATATATATATAGCTTGGTTTTAAATTCAAAAAAAGTAAAATTCACTTATAGTTAGTAACAAGTACAAGACTTTTTTATGGTTAACTTTTTATAAATTTTTTTATCTGGTTATTGAGATACTCCAAAAAATTCTAACGGTTTTGTCACAGAACTCAGCGGAAAAGTTTAGTAAAGAATATATTTTTACTGATAAAGTAAAGGATATATTTTTACTGATACCTTTACCAATAGTAAAGATTTCTTTTCTGGTAGTAAAAATTATCCTTTTGGATGCATTAAAATTATCTTATTATTAGATTTTAAATACTTTTTTATGTCTGTGTAACTCAATGCAACCTGCGTTTTATACTTGTTGTTTTGGATTATAACTTTTTATATAACCCGAGACTAAAATTAACAGAGTAACATCATAAGTTAGTTAGGGTTAGTTAAAATAAATTGTAATTTATTTCAAGTAATCTTAAGTTGTAATTTGTTATAATTTTACATTATTTTTGTGTTCGTGTGTGTGCTCAGATTCAGCAGCTTTTTGGATATGTACTTATAGGATATAAAATTTGATTATGTTTAAAATTTTTATATGACGCTTTAGGTTCGTACGATTACAAAGTCATTATTTTAATTTAGAAATTACTTAAAATTTTTTTAAAGATAACACTATATCATTCTCTTAGTTTTATTCGATATAAAAAAATGCTATGTTATAAAAGTTTTTTTTTGTTTCTTATCTCTTTTGGCATTTTTCAATTGTTTTGTGACCCTGTTAGTTGTAAAGATAATGTTTTCCGACCGCACCCTCTTATTTACATAAAGTTAATGCCAAATTTTTATTGCTACTTTTAAATCAAATATAACTATATGTAAAATACGTTAAAAATAGTTGTATTCTCTTAAATTATTCCATTAACAAATTTTATAATGTTTTATAATAAATTATAACTTTTATGACACTATTTTTACTTAAAATAGTTATTTAAATTATCTTGTGTTATGAAGTGCTCGGCCGCTTTTATTGTAAAGTGACGTAAGGCGTGACTTTATGGATGTGCCGAAATAAAAATGTTGTTTGGTGTTGGTGTTCAACTATTTTATTTTTAAATGTATATGATTTCGTCTGATTTTATTTTTTAATTTTTTTTCAATTTTAAATATTTTTTTATTTTTTTAAATATGTAATACTGTTTTAATAATACAAATAAATTTCAAATAAAATTGATAACTGTGTTATGGCAAAAGGTTTAGATAAAAAGTTGTCCCCCGTGTTAAGTTATATTTTCTTATTGTAGCTGTTAATATTTTCATCTCTTTGTGTTACAGATTCCACGCTGAAGTAAAAAAAAAGAATTTCTATCTTTGAGGTTTACTTCGAGCGTATCAACGAAAAGTTTTTTTGTATGGTTGTTATGTCTCATTGCTTAAACCAGGTAGCTTAGTTGTTTGAATTTTCACCAGTATTATACTAAAGACGATAGAGAATGGTTTTTCAGAACGTTGGTTCATTGAACATATTTTTAATTATGTTATTGGTTATCGTCAATTCTCCTAGATACATATTAAATTATCATAGCTATTATTATTACTATTATTATTAAGTATGGGTTTTAAATAAAAGTTTGTAGTTAATTATGATGCAATGAAGTAAAAGACTTGTAAATTCAATAGTAAAGATGTTTACATATCTTATGTTTTTAGTGTTAAGGTTGTAGCCAAACACAAACATAAGGCTAAAAACAAAAATTAACTGAGTTATGAGCATAAATAGTAATCGGAAGTATGTTGTTTTCAATAAGTAGAGATAAAAACTTGGTGGATTTCCTAAACCTATATATAAATCTGAGCGTAATGCTGCAAGTTTTGTGCTGAGCTCTGCTATTTTGCTTATTAATTAATATTGTTAGCTTTTTAGTAGATAATTAGTTAGCAAAGCATGGAATTGTGCAAAGTCTCACTCACATTTTATACATTCATGTTAATTTTTTTTCTTGCATTTTGTGTTTGATATGCACCACACACTTCTGGGCAATATAAGTAGGATTTGATTAATATATTTTAATGAATATGATGATTTGTGCATTGAAAAAACTTGCTTATCTGTCAAATTTAAAAGAAAACATTTGTGAAACTGAATCATTTTAAATAAAAGCTCAATATATGTGCAATAATAAATTTTATTACTTTAGAATATATTAATGATGAACAAGAATGAATTATAAAAAGGGCCATGAACTTGTAACATCACAACAGAGGCATTTGGAAACAATTTTCAATTTTCAAAATATTGCAAAGAATTTCAAAGGGTTAAATGTTTAAAAATTTGATTTACAAAATTCTGAAACTTGTTAACTTATTAACACTTGGTTATGATTTGATTCCTTTTGTAAATTAAACTTTGAAAAATACTTGAACAGCCTGGTTTTATTGCCAATAAAATAAAAAGATGAAATAGTCCCTGATTAATCTGTAACCCTAACCATGTACTTTTGTTTCTATTTCTATGCTATTTCTATGTGCCAATGTATGTACAATTAATTATGTCTATATCTGTGTTAAGTCTATCCCTATGTCAGTTGATGCATATATATCTAAATAATAACATTTTATAAAAAGTATTTTTAGTTTGAAAAAAATATTCAAAATAATTGAATGTAAAAAATTGTAAATAAATTTTAATGTTAGTAACAATGAAACTCAGGCTGTATGATTAAAAATAGTTTTTCTGAATGATTGAAAGTAATATTAATGTATGTTAATTTGAAAATGTCAAATTAAAGTGTTTTAGTAAAAAAAAATTTAAACTTTAACATCATAACATTATATTAGAGCATTTTTCTTTAATTTTTAGACATGTTTTTCTATGATCCTGAATCTAGTATATGTTATTATAATTGCTCATGCTATCATAATCAACCAAACATGGGGGAGAAAGTTGAGTAGCATCTATATACAGGCTTGGCCAGGAAGATGTGTGAAAACAAGTTTATGACCATGCAAATAATATTTTCTTTTGATGATTTGACCACTGTTTTTAACATTTGAAAAATCCGCTGAAAAAAAAGTTTTTTTTTTTAATTATGTTTAAAATAAATAACTTTGACATGGTTATCTTTACTAACATTTTTATATTAGCAAAACGTTTTTAAATAAAGTGACTAATGATTTTAATTAAAGTATCAATGAAAGTTGTATAAATCTATATTTATATTATTTAATTATATAAAATTTTTTTATCAAAAATTTTATTTAAAAAGAAATTAAATTATATAACCGATCACTTGAATCAATGATTGTCTAAACCTTATATAAACCTTAAATAAAAATCATTAAAGTTAATACACTCAAAAAGAAGAAAGATTTTATTGAGAAAAAACAAAAGACAAACTTTTTGTAGCTATTTGAATTAAATAGCTTTGATCTTTACTTACGTTTTTATATTATTGAAACACATTTAAATAAAGTGCTAATGATTTTTTATTTAAAGTAATAATGAATAATATATTTTTTGTATTTATATAAGTATGTATTTTTTTATTATAAATTCTTTAAATAAAAAAAATATATTTCTAATTATAATTATAAACTTTTTAAAGAAATGATTTTTTTGTTTTGTTTACGTTACTGCAAAAATTTGTGAAGAACTTAACTTTTAAATGTGCGTATTTATTAAACAATAGTTAGATGTAAATTGTTACATTATTTAAAATTGTTACATTATTTAAAAGGGTTTCCCATAATATTATGTCATAAAAACATAAGTAAAGATAAACAACTCAAAGTTATTCTAAATGTAATTTAAATAATCTTATTGTTATAGTTTATTATTTATTTTAGTTAAGTTTTAATTTAATTTTTTTAGTTTTAGTTAAATTATTTTTATATTTTTCATTATTTTTTTACGAAGATTTGCTTTCTTTAGGATAATTTTTTTTAAGTTTCTTTATAGTAAAATTAAGATTTTTCAGCACATTTTAAAAATGTATACAAATTTTCACAACATCTTAACAACAGTGGTCAAATTTTCAAAATCAAATAGCATTTGCGTGGTCATATTATAGCGTGAAATCATATGCCTACCCAGCCAAGTCTGTATATATAAAAATACATATTAAGATATGTTATTTAATTGAATTTGAAAGATTCCAAATAAACTTAAATGTGTAGTAGTAGTAGTAGTAGTAGTAGTAGTAGTAGTAGTAGTAGTAGTAGTAGTAGTAGTAGTAGTAGTAGTAGTAGTAGTAGTAGTAGTAGTAGTACATTAGTTGACTGAGAAAATTTAATATTGCATTTATACGAGGTCTAATGTAAACATATTAGACCTGACAAAGTTTAATATTGCACATAAGTTGACTGGGGAAATTTAATATTGCATATATACAAGGTCTAATATAAACATATATATTCGGGATTATCTTTTTCCAGAAATTTCCGGAATTCCAGATATTTTTCTCAAAATTCAATTTTACAGATATCCAAAATGTTTTCCATACATACAAGTTTAGGTGTGTATTTTTGTAGTATATTTGTTTTTTATGCTTTTTCACTCATCACTCCTACAAAAATTATAAAAAGTTTAAAAAATTTTTTGAAACAACTCAGCTAAAAGTAAAATTAAGGGAGAAATAAGGGAAAATTTGGATTTTTTCTGGATATTTACCCAAACAATTTTCCAGATTTTTAAAATAAGGTCTATGATATTAGACCTAGACAAAATTTAATATTGCACTAGAAGATATATATCAAAGCGTAGAAGATATATATTAATAGAAGATATGTATTAAATAAGCCTAGAAGATATATAATAAAGCGTCAAATTTTAAAATGGCGTGCCATTTTACCCTTTAAAACAGTAATATATATCTATCAACCCTTGGAATTAGAAAAAATTAGGTCAGCAATAATTTGCCTAACTCAATCTTTTAGAGGTTGGCATTAGGTCAGCAAAAAAAAATTTGATACAAAAATTTTACCATAAAACAGAAACAAGGTTGGTAATTTTTTGTTGACCTCAAACACTTTAAGTTTGACATTGTAGAATGCTGACATCTATATATACATATATAGGCTTGATTTTAATGAATTTTGACAAAGTAGAATATAATTTTTAAATAAAAAATTACAATTAGTGTATTTTACAAAATAGAATGCTTCATGTTTTTAAAAGGACAGAGCAATAATAAGTTAGTAGAAAATCATTTATCGAACTTTTTCCATTTAAGGCTGTGTTTCATCAATAAAGACTCGTCAGAAATCCTTTTTTCCTTTTAATTTTCTGATGAGTCTTTACTGATAAAACACTGTAAAATAAAAATAGTTTCATAAGTGATTTTTTACTATTTATAACTAACATACATTTATATACAAGGCTCAAATTAGGTGATCGTGAATTGCGATTCCTGGAAATATTTCTTGTCACCAAATTCTCAGTTTATTAAAAACCATGAACACTGTTTTAATGAAACGGTCAGTGCATATTGCAAAAATTAATGAAAAAATAAAACAATAAATTTACTACTGCAAAAATAAAAACAGTCAAAGCTTACATATTTTAAATTATTGTTTATTTAAACACCAGGTAATTTAAGGATTATAAAAAGTAAAGCTATAGGAAAAAAATAATAATTACTAAAGGTCCAAAAAATTTGTGCGGTGATTGAAAATCAACTAATAAAAAAATTATAATAAAGCTATTCACGCATTTTATGATACATTGAAAATCGGTTTTTGTTTAAGGGTAGAATTAGAGAACTTATTTATTTAAAAATTTAAATGTTTTAAATTAGAAATTAATAATAAAAAATATATTTTAAAATAAGTCATTATAATTTTTTTATTTTGTTTTAAAATAAGTTTAAAATGTTTAAATTAGTTTTTTCATATATTTTTAAACTCCTGTTTTTAATTTTATATAATTTACAAGAAAATATTAAATAAGATAGAAAAGTATTTCATATCTTATTTTGTGATTTCTTTTATTTAAAATATTTGATCATTGCTAAATTCTTTTAGACTGTTGTGATTGCAATTGTTTTTTAATATTACATTGTACTGTATGCTTTCTCTTTTTGAGTCCTATCTGATGATTTGTCAAATGAATTAAAATGTTAAAGTTTAATTCATAAATTTTATTAATGTTATTAGGAATAGTATTACTTATACGATTTTATAATAAATTTTTTTAAAAAACTTTGGCATATTAAATTCGCCGAATGGCCACACACAAGCAGTGAATGCCCAAGTGAAGAAATGAAGTACATTAGAATAAACAAGAATTATTTTTTGACCAAAGTATATTTTGACTATTGTCAAGACAAAATGTTAAAGTTTAAATCATAATTTTTATTAATGTTATTAGTAATTATTTGATTTTATAATAAGATTTTCATATAAAATCAGATCATAATTCAAGATGAATATAAATATTTTTTATTGAATAACCGCTATTGAGTTTAGTGATAAAAAAAGAGTTGACAGTTTTTAAAAATTTAAAAATGTAATAACCAGAAGCATTTCCAAATATTGAGTTATTTTATTCACAAAAGATTTCTAAATAAATGTTTTTAAAGAATAGAGAAGTAATAAATTAGTGTTTTACTTGTTAGGAAGAATATTTAAATTTCAAAGTATTAAACAATATTTCTCAGTAAGTTAGGAATTTTTGTAATAATTTTTAATTTCTGAAAGTTTTTGTAAACTTAGTAAACATTAATTTGTGAAAATAAATATTTAAAATATTCTTTTGATAAGACTGATTTTTTTGTTCATTTTTAAAAATAATTTTTCTTGCAAACATTGCATACATTTTCGGTAAGATAGACACTTAGTTTTTAGAATAAACCAGTTTAATGCAAAGTTAATGTTTTTTCGTCCCAAATATTTTTTGATAGCATGGTCTTTAGAAAAATTTGAATATATTAAAAAGATTTTTTAATAAAAAATATATTTTTGCAATTACTATTTTTAGTTTTCATTTTTACTATTTAAATTTTTTACTGTGTTAAATCAAGTTATATTTTTATTTAATTTTTAATTTAGTATTGAGTTTTTAGTTTTTGATGCATAGTTTTATATATAAAATTGGATAAAATTTTTCTATTTTTTATAATTATTTAAGTGTTTGCCTAAAATATTGTTATACTAGCCTAAAATATTTTTTAAGATTTCCTACCAAAATATTTTTAAATTTTTTTCCTGGATTATCCTTAAACAAATATTAGCATTATTAAATCCCTTTTTTAAAATCAATCATTTGAGAAAATATTTAACTTTTTTATTATTGATTGCCAATATGAATAAAAATTATTAGAAAGGAAGAAAAAAATCTATACAATCTGTCAAAAGTATAGATCAATTTTGTTTTAAGGTGTAGCTTGTGTAATATTTAGCAAATTTTATCAGGTAGAATCTATTGTAATTTATTTTTATGAAATTATTAAATTTTATTTTAATAACTTGGGTTCTAGTCGTTTATTTCTAATAATAAATTAAAGTTACAAAAAGCTGAAAACACTGTGTATCAGATCTGAGAGAATCTTTATCATACCTGTTAATATTTTCTTTATCATACCTGTTATATATATATATATATATATATATATATATATATATATATATATATATATATATATATATATTATATATATATATATATATATATATATATATATATATATATATATCGAGCCTTCGGGGTGCTTGTGGTCACATGCCTTGTTTGTCCACGCCTAATGTAATTTTTTTAAACAACTTGACCACGTTTTTTAAAATTTGGAACAAAATAAAGCTTAAAAGAAACTATAAAAAATAAAACAGCAATACTCATAGAAAGGAAACAAATACTTTACGAAATAGAAAATCTAAATACAATTAACTAAAAAAAAAATTGAAAATTAAAAAAAGTAAAATTTTGTGAAAAAAGAAATATACCTAAATACTTAACTGTTTGTGTTTTCTTTTCTTTTTTGTTTTTCTTTTTTTTTTAGGGCATTTGTTATTATTCACTAACAAAATTGATGCAAGTCAAGAAAAAAAGTAGATAAGAATACAACGAAAATAAAAACATTTTTCGACTTTTTGAGAATTTTTTCAGTATAATAAGTATGTTTAGGAAATACTTTATAATTCAGTATATTAAGGAAATATTTTATAATTTGCGCAAGAAACATGGACAATTTTTAATTTTTTTTTTTTTTTTCAAATGTTTATGCTAAACTTTACTGTTTTTATCAATATACAGGAATACGAGAAACCTAATTGCTATTAATTTGTAAAATGTTTTTTAACAAATTTCTCATGTGAAAAAATAATAGTCTAATATTTAACTATAAAATATTTTTAGGAGCCTTTTTATAACTCTTTTTTTTTAGTTTTTAAATACGTTTTTTCAAACAGGTTATATAAAAGAAACAATTTTAGACATGCATCAAATGCAGTAAATACATTTACAAATGAGACCATGTTATTCTTTTTTGTAATTTATTCCGTCATTACAAAATTTATTAATCAAATATATTTTACAAATAAATGCAATTTATTTTCTAATTTTCCTTTTATATAAGTATTGAGAAAAAACATTAAAAAAAAACATTTTTAAAAGCAAAAAAGACGTCAAAACGAATGAACATAAGAAAAAAAATTAACAAAATTTCTTATAGTTCTAGCGTACATAACAAATTAGTTTCTTTATTATACGGACTGATAAAAATTGTGAATAGATAGCATATCATAGATAGCATATACTTTCATTTTTTGTTAAATTGTTATAAAAGATAATTTTCAACATTAATGTTATTATTCATTAACTTGTGTAAAATTCGGTAGCTAAAATTTTAGAAAAAAAAAATTTTTAGTTTTTTTATTATTAAATTTTATAGTTTATTAGGTTAAACTTAATATTTCGTTTCAATTTTGTTTCCTTTTTTTAGGAATTTCTTTTTTTTCCTCAGTAGATAAGTTCAGCTTTTTGCCGCGAATTATTGAAACGCTTCATTAGTTAAAAGTTACAAATTGCTGTGGTGTGTGTCTAAGAAAATTACTTTAAATGTGGACGAACAAGGCGTGCGACCCCATGCGCTTACCAGGAAGGCTTGATATATATATGTATATATATAGGTTTTTTACAATTGTTTTATCTAATTTTTACTTTATTAAATAGTATATTGTTTAAAATATGATTATCAAGGTAAAAAAGAAAAGTTATTTTTCAACACTTTATTCCTGGTTTTATTGTTTTTGTATTTTGTTTCTCTTTTTTTAAATGAAAAAGTTATTTTGCTTGTTATAGTAATGAATTTTATTTGTTTGCATGTTTGTAATTGTTTTAAATATAATAAATTTAATTTGTAAATATTTTCATTATAGAGAGGAAAGCAAAATAATCACCAAGGTAACATATAATAAGTTTATTTTTTAGTATTAAATTTAATTTGTTACAAATTTGTAAAATATGAATAACTGTAAATAAATATTTAAATTAATTAATGAATTTAATTTGCTGTTTTATAGAACAGTTAATAACTTTGTAAAGAAATTCAGGAATTAAAATAGTTTGCGCAAATTTTAGTTACAGGCAATCTAACAAAAAGTTACAATTTTAACAAATGACCTTCAAATACCTTAGATTCCATTTTAAGATCAACTTGTTTCTCTTAGATTCCAACTAAGATCAAGGTTTGTGTTTCGGAGTTTTTGTGTTTGAGAGAGTTTGAGAGAGGGTTATAACTACAATTAAGTAGCCTCCTCGTCTGTAGTGGCCTTCTCGGCCTTGGGGAGGTGAATTAACAAAAAAAAAATCAAATTTTAAACTTTGTCTTAAGCCATTTAACTAGTTCTGATTTCAATCTCGTTTTATTGTGCGGCATGCGTTGCATATTGCGCCAGAAATGCTAGATATTTACAAATTACCAAAACTACTATTATTACAAAGGCTGCAGTTAAATAATTCAAGTAATTTATTTACAGCTATGCACAAGGGTTTAATGGAGATTTTTTAATAAGAAGACTTTCATAACAAATATTGGTTTTTCTCATTTTAAAATTTAACAAATTGTTTTTTGTTTTTTTTCAGTTTTAGTTTTATGTTTTGCATTGATAAATTAGCTGAAAAAAAGCCATTAGATGTGTGGCAATTAGGCTACCCATTTTATTGATGACAAATGTTTAATCAACTTTATGGATTATACAATTTGAAACAAATTATTTTACTTGGTTACTGCTTTAATTAATAAAGTTACTGTGTATTTGTGATGTTTAAAAAAATAATTTTGACGAATCAGTATTTTAATTACTAAAAATTGTTGAAGATTAACTTGCAATATAACCTCATTTCCAATATGCATGCAAATGTGTTGAAAATTGGTGTCGGAGAGCATCTTATGACAAGGTGGTGGAGTCATGAAAAGTATTAGGTGTGTGAGGTGTATAATGGCTGAATCAACCAATACCTAAAAAAATACTAGAATCACATTTGATTCTGTTAAGGCATTTGTATGGCAGAGGTAAAAAAATACATTTTCCAGCAAGTAAGGTGCACACCAGAGGTGGAAAATAACGAATTACAATTACTCACGTTACTATAATTAAGTAGTTATTATGAGAATTTCTACTTTTTGAGTATTATTTTAAATGGGTACTCTTACTTTTTCTTAATTACTTTTGTTCTAAAGTATTGTACCTCTCTACATTTGAAATCATATGCGTTGCTGAGTAAAAAAAATTATTATGTATTATTTAATTTCACAAATACTATGATTTTATTTATTTATTTTTTTTTTTTGAGTTTTGCTCACTTAAAAATGACACTTAAAAATTGTTTAGAAAAAAATGTTGAGCGCGCTCATAACGAGTTTTAACTGCTTTAGCTTGGTTCATTTTCACTTTTTACAACCATAAAAAAAACTTTCTGTGCAAAAAAAATTTTTTTTTTTGCACAGAAAAGAATAGACTACATGATTTTTGTTTTTTTTATTTGACAGCTTTGTTACTGAAAAAGAAACGCAGTAACTTTTACTCTGAGTACATTTTTAATAAGCTACTTTTTACTTTTACTTGAGTAAACTTTTTAACCGGTAACTTTTACTTGTACTTAAGTAAAATTTCACTCAAGTAACAGTACTTTTACTTGAGTACATTTTTTTTTACTTTTTCTACCTCTGGTGCACACATACGCAACACATAATACACTGGTTCAAGTTAAGATCTTAACCCAAATAAAATAATTTAGTCATGTATCAATGTTTAAATAAGAAAACAAACAACTCTATAAGCTGAGCATTTGAAGCAACTTTTGAATGAGTATTGGTTAAAGGTCCCATAAAAAATATCCATGAATTGGTTGAATCTATGCAGAAACAAGTTATTTTTTTCTGTCAATAAAATAAACGACACTTTAAAATTTTTTTTTTTTTCTGTTCCTTTATTAAACTTTAACGCAACTTATTTTTGATTTTTTACATTATTTTTTAGTTGTTTTTTTTTAAACTATTTTATTTTAATTGTATAGTTAATTTATTAATTATAGTTAATAAAAAAATAAGTTTGTTTGATATGAAAAGATAGCTTGAAATTGACATCTTTATTAAAGTTTAATGCTATATATAATATATAAATGAAAGAATGGTTTCTTTTGTATCTATTTATTATAATTGAAAACTTTACTTTTTTTTTTTTTTAGTTTATATTTCTGACAACAGCTTACACCATACGCCATATTATAAAGAGCAGGTTTGTATAGAGTTATAATTATGCATGGCAGCTTTTTCTTTTTTTTTTTTCTTTTTCTCTCTATACATTATATTATTAGAGTATCATATATTTTGTATATGTTTGTTATAATAGTTACAAATTTTTATTTTTACTTGTACAATTTTGTTAAAAACAAAAGCCACATTGAAGTGAATTGGTTTCACAACCATTGAAATAAAAACATTTTTTACTCTAAATATTTTAATAAACTATAATAAACTAATTTAGAGTTTATTATAGTTTACTAAAATATTTAGAGTAAAAAAAAATTTATATTTGTTTTTGTCTTAAGTAAATTAGTTATTTAACTGCAACTTGGCTAAAAGAAAGTTAAAGTTTCGGAAATTAAAATTTTATTGAACAATTTCCTGCTACTGTTTTTTACATTTTTTAAATGTGTCGGTTTCAATGTTTAATTGGCATCTAAGAGTAGTAAAAAGTATTTTGTTTTAATAAATAAAATCAAACAGCTATTTTTTGTAAAGCATTATTTGTAACAGAGATTTTATTTTTTTATAAGTGTATAATAGCAAATTTTAAAACTCCCAAAATTTCTTAAGAAAGTATCTTGTATCATATTTTTATTTTTCAGTATTAGAAATTTAATTCATTTATCGTATTAAAGTAAGATCAAAAATATTTGTTTTACTTTCAATTTTATTTTTTAAGAGATTTATATTACTTTATGATTATTATTGTTGGTTTGAAATATTTTTTAAAAATTTTTTAACAAAGAATATTAAATAAAATCTTGGTTTATTAAAATATTTACTATTTTTTTTAAGGCTGTTGATAATCTTACATTAACTACGGCTCAACCCATAGTGACACATATTGGCAGCAACAGCATGCCTGAACCTTATATCTCTCCAGGTGGTTATTATGCTAGTAATGCAGCTTTTCAGCAATGTATGTCTTATGCTAATTTTACTCAACCTCATTCTCAATGGTCGAATGGAGGTAACAGTCATCAAGCCACATTACAGGGTTTTGATGCTATGCAATACAGTACCTTAAGTGCTGCTCCTACAGCTGTTCCAACCGCAGACAATGCACAAAATCACCAGTATGTGTCTCCAGATCATTTGTTTAACCAAAATAACTCAGGTTATCAAAGTGCATTTTCTGCACCTTACATGAATGGTAGTTGGTCATATTTTAATAATCCAAATTCTTTCTTTTTTCCTACTGGTACTGGCGATTTGAACTTAACTTGGGGTACAAATGCAGAAAATCCAGTTAATGGGTTTCTGCAAGATTTATATAAACCACCCCAATTGTCAACAGATCAAGAAAAGACAATGGATTCATTACAAAATGATCTAACACATACTGGTTTTGATACAAGTGAACCAAACTCTATTGATTCAGTTGATAAATCTCTGTCAAATTTTAGTCTTAGTAATGATAAGGAAATTGATAGAGAAACTTCTGTTGTGACCAGCATGAACTCAGGTTTAATTAATACTTCTAAAAGTACTGCCGTTAATAATTCATCTGGACAATCTAATTCCCATTCTAAACCGGTTTCTTGGGCAAGCGTTGCTAGTCAACCAGCCAAAAGTAAGACTCCTATTGTTCGTAAACCTATTAAAGAGACTCCACCACAAACTGTTAAATCTAATCATTTGCAAAATGGCAATGCGAATGTTAATGGTAAAAGCAAACCACAGCAGTCTAGTTCTCGTTGGAATCGTCCAAATAGTTTAAGTAGCAGTACTAGTAACAATAGTAATGATGTTGTAGCTGTCATTAATGATAGCCATCTTGATATTAACAATATGAAAGATAATTCTCCATTGTTAAAAAAGCTATTGTCCAAGTTTAATTTTAATCCTAGAGAATTGAATATGGATTTTAAAAATTCGAGATTTTTTATTATAAAGAGTTATAGCGAGGACGATATTTTCCGCTCAATTAAGTATTCGAGCTGGACTTCCACAGAACACGGTAATCGACGACTTAATGAAGCATTTATTGAACAGAAAAAAACTGGAATTAAAACTCCTATGTATTTACTGTTTAGTGTTAATAGCAGTGGACATTTTTGTGGAATTGCAGAAATGACATCTGAAGTAGATTTAAACATTGAAACAGGTATTTGGGTTCAGGACAAATGGAAAGGACGCTTTGACGTTAGGTGGATATATGTAAAGGACGTTCCTAATAATATTCTTAGACATATTCGCCTAGAAAATAACGAGAATAAGCCAGTAACAAATTCTCGTGACACACAGGAAGTGTCTCCTGAAAAAGGAAAACAAGTGATTAAAATAATTCATAATTATCAAGCACAGACGTCTATATTTGATGACTTTGCACATTATGAAAAAAGACAAGAAGAAGATGCTAAAATGCGAGTAAGTTTTTGTAATACTTTTTGATAAGTTACACTTTTTTTTTTAAACTTGATTTTGCTTGTTTTTTTAATAAAAACGTGTTAAAATTATCTTTATTTTAGATGAAGAAGATTCCTGAGCCATTTAATTTATAACTTATGAAATATGTCTGGCCGTTTTATATGTTTTGATTCATTTATGGGAAGGTTGAAGTCTGTTTATTTTACTTGTTATTTCGAATATTTATGCTCAAAATCCCTCTGCCTTTCTCTCTCTCTCTCTATCTTTTGCTCTGTTTTAGTTTCATTACTGTTTGGCAACATACTTAAATTAATTCGCTTTCTAGTTTTTGCCATTCGCTGATCCTAAAGCTCCTGATCCTAAAATTATTAAAATTCCTTGTAAGCTGTATTTTACTTTAGTTTTTTTTATTTCATAATTGTGAAAAAAAAAAAAAAAATTGATTCTCATAGAATTTTGCATCAACTGCGGAATATATTTATATATTGCGGAATATATTGTGAGTTTTCGACTTTTTTACTTCGATTGCTTAGGTTAATTTCTATTTTGAAAAAACTGGATCAAGTTTGTTTTGCATTCATTGGCATTGCCAAGCGCATTTGTGCATTTTGCATTACTTGTAGTAGAATGCATTATTTTGTAAATATTCTGATTTCCTCGTTGCTTACATCAATGATTGCTCCGTAAAAGCGAAAGATCATTGAATTTTTTGATGTATATTACCAAGGTTATCTCACATTTTGCAAAAGAAAACCTTGATATAAATATCATTATAAAGGTTTTCTCTCAAGTGAGATTTCCGCGAGTTTGTCTTGCGGTCATTTTTTAAATGATTTAAAATTGTAATGCGTTGTAACAGCGTTGGCTCTTAAATTCATAATATGTTTAGGCGCTAATTATTATATTTGAAAATGTTTTTATTGAAGGGGATAGTATACAATACTTAACAAAGATATAATAATATCTTTGTTAAGTATTGAAATAGTGGATACTATAATATATATTAATATATGATAATAAATACTAAGATACACAACGCAATCAAAATTCCAATCTTAAAGATATCTAACGGTAATCTTGAGGTATTGCATAGAAATAACAGCTTTCTCCAAGCACTACTAAATTTTGTAGTTTCATTAGAGTTCTAATAAGCGTTTAGCCTTATACTTTGAAGTGTCGAATTAACGTTGCCGTCCTTAAATTTTGATGCCTTATTACCAGACGTTTATTCAGTATTATGTATATTAGGGTGTCCCAAAAACAAAAAGTTTGATACTATCAATCACTACATTATATTAAAAAAACTCTATGGCATTAAGGTGGTAGTACCCTTTAGGAAAAGAAAAAAATTAAAATTTGATATTATATGGAAACATTTATGTTTTTCTAAAGTGTTAGATTAAATCATTTCTAAAAATAACAAAATTTTTTTTTTACCCTTTTGCTCGATAATTATGCGCATAAATTAGCAATATTTAGGCAAAAAAAATGGACCTTTTTTTAAGAATATCTTGAGAACCATACATGTTCTACAAACCAAACTTAATAAGTAGTTTTATAAATGTTTAAAAAAAGTGCTGAATTAAAATTTATACAATAAATAACATTTAATAACTTTAAAATCGTTAAATTGTATCATTAAAAAAAAAAAAGTTTAAGCACAGCTTGCTGAAGCTCAAATTTTAATACTTTAATATAAAAAAAGTTAATTTTCTTTGGTTCAGCACATCACAAATACACTCAAGAATAATTGCTGAAAATTTGAAAGAATTCCAATGAGCGGTTAAAAAGTTATCTTTGTTTTAAAATTAAAAGATACACAAAAAGTGAATCGCTAGGAAAACACAATTTAAAAAAAATGTTAAAGCTTTTTACACAATAAAACCTACTAAAAACAACCACTGTTGTATTATCACCTTCTGCTTCGTTATGTTGGTCAATAAAGCCTTTTTTAATAGCTCTTAGCTTTTTCCTCCTGTTTTTTGTGGCACCTGTACTTTTTATCTCATTCTGCTTAACGCGTACATAATCTACATTTAGAGAACTTTTTGTTGTAAAATATCCAGGCACAACATTACATTTTTCAAACACTGGTAGTAAACCCTGAACTCCATTATTAAAGCTAATTATTGCAGAGGCCAAAGCAATCTCAACAACTGTTTTTTCCACACGTACTCTTTTGGGTGCGCGAGTCCAAACCATCCCATTTAGCAATTCATTGACATTTTGAGTTAGGCCATGTAAACATTTCTTGAGCAATTCATTGCTCAAGAGATTGTAATTTTTCTGGTCTGAATGATATTTACACCATGAACTTGATGTACTGCAGCAACAGCCTTTTTCATGTTATATAGACTATCAATATTTTAACGTATTGCTATTCCATAATAGTTTTGAAGAGTATTTATCCACTTATCAGTTAATCTTCCTTTCCTACTGATGTATTTTCCATCTGATAATGTATAATCTTTGTAACGATCTCGCAACATATGTAGTCTAGCACCAACTCTCTTCTGAACATGTCCTTTGTACTCTGCTTTCACAATAACTTCTCCTGGGTATGGATTTCCATCACAAACTTGCACATAAGACTTGGTATCTCCATCTCCAATGTATGTTAGGTACTTGAGTTTAAGCTCCTTGACAGATTGCTCGAATATTTGTACAGCGCCTACAGATTCCATACTTCCTGAGCTACCTCAATACACTTTCCATGAGATATTGCTGTGACTATACCACTCATTGAGGAGTATCCTCTGCCATCAACCATCTAAACTAATAGCAACATTAACAATTGATAATTCATCATAATTTTCACCAAGTTTTTCCCTACGTATGTCCTCTGAGGCTTTTTTTGGACTCTGTCTAGAGGTTTCAATGTAAGCAAGGTGAAGTTTGTTATTAATATTATGGTAACCACGTTTAGTCATACCAGGAGGCATATTCATTAAGAGGGAAACCCCCTTTGATTTTTAAATCAATTTTTACAAAAAAAATATTTGTCAAATCAGTAGCTTATATAAAAAGAAATAAGAAAAAAGTATTTAAAAAAATAAAATGGTAACCTGTTGCTATAGAAACCATAAACAAATACCAAAAAACAGCACAAACGGGTTTCACGCCAGCCAATATTGTGGGAACAAAACAACCCTAGGGAACAAAACAACCCTAGTTAAAATTTGTATATGGTGTTTACATAGAGTAGAATAGTGTTTTAAGTTAAACAGAATTTTTTTTTACAAATATAAATTCGGGCATTTTGAAGTCAAAGTTCAATATTTAATAATATAGTATTAAAACAGCATAAACAGCAGGCGTAAAAAAAAAAAAAAAAAAAAAACTGTTCAACTTAAAACACTCTACACCATTTAATAAACGTTCACTGAAAATTTTATGAAGGGCTCTTGAATGGTTGGCGAGCAATGTTGGCCGGCGTCTTAAATACTTCATACTGAGAAAAAAGCAAATTAACATTTTTTTAATTAAATAACACCAAAACATGTAAAAAAAAAACAATCATTAACTTCTTTAAATAAAAAAAAGTATTTTAAATTCTCCTGGTTCATATGTCATACCCTCTTTTTCCAAATTATTGTCATTTTTTTCAAATTTTTTTGTTATATTTTGCTGTCGTTTTAACTTATTCTTTTCATTTATTTTATAATTATTCTTTTCATATTTTTTATAATTATAATTGTTTTATTCGTTTATTGTTTACTTTATTGAAACCTTTAACCATAAAAGCTCCTAGTAACATATTTAATTGTTCAAAAACTAACTTTGAAGCTTTCATACCAATATTGAAATTTGCAACCGCATCATACACACCAAATTTCAAATTATCAAATAACACATACCTAGTCTTTAGTAATCGGTGCCAAATCATACTGTTGAAGGATTCTTTAACGTTTTGGGTTTTTTCATTGGGCATAGCCTGTAGGGTTTGTTTTTAAAAGATCTTTCTTCAAAAAGTAACCTTTGCAGAACCTGCACATTGGTTACACATCTAAAACTTTTCCAGTGTCCATTGATAATGCAGAAAAGACACCGTTTAATGATGAAAAACCGCTTTTCTGCCAAGTACCATCATATGACACACCAATATCAAAAACATCATCATTAGCAGCATGTTTTCGCAATTCTGCTACTTTATCAAACATGGTATCTTCAGCAACTTTTTGTGTGACAGCACCTATTTTCACAGCTAATTTATCATAATTATTTTGTGTCATTGGTTGTGGCATATTCATTAAAGTGGTGAATTTTTCTTTACCAGAATGTCCCTGTCCAAGTGAACGCATTGCGTATACTGTTCTACAATTAATATCATATGCTCTGTTACATTGTTTTGAAGAATAAAACTCATTTTCATATTTGCAGTTATAGCACTTGATAATTAACTTTGAGGCAAGTTCTTTTTTGTCTTGCATTTTTTCGGACAATGACAAGGATGAACATTCATTATATTGAGGACATGCTAAAGCACTAAATATGTCAGATAATATAGAGCAATCTATAATCCTATATCCAGATATTTTCATTCTTGTAAAAGGTCTGGAATATTCAATTGGCTTTACCTTTTTTGCAGATACAGATGTAGAAAATAAATTTAACTCAGATTCGTTATTTACAGAGTTATTATTGACAGTTGTAGTATTTGAATCAGTCAAAATTGTTACAGCAGGGTTATCATTCAACCTTATTTTAATATTTTCTTTGTCGAGACAGTTAAATTTCTTCCCTAAGAAACCTCTTCTCTTTTTTTTAATTATTGTTCTTGATTTTATTCTACAGGCTTTATTCATTTTTTAAAAAATATTAACAAAGTTGACAACTTCAAAAGCTTCAGAATAACTGAAAGCTGTAATTTAACTTGATGAACCAGACTATTTTCGCTAGTTGAATGAGTAAAGAAGCCAAACCAAGCATTTTACTGCAGCTATTTAAAAGTATACATTAGTTATTAGAACTTTTATAAAGGTGCTACACCGTTGCTATGGGCGTTGTTAGGGTATAAATTTTGAGTTACCTTAAGAAAATACAAAATTTGAAGGCCTAAATGATAAAAATCAGTATATAAACAAATAATTTTTAATTCTGCATACATTTAAATGCATAAATAAGTAAAAATATTTTTTACAAATTTTGGGTAAATTAGAGGGTGTTTCCCCCTTAAACGACAAAAAGTATTAATTGCTGTGTATC